TCCCGCTCCCCCCTCGGAGAGGGTGTCAGAATGCACTTCAATAAAACAGTCAAGTAAATACAGGGAGAGACATGAAGAGAGACGCACTGCTGTGTTCTACAGGCAACTGTAGTTGGGCAGCGTTGAAATATCAATAAGCCTCACACAGAAAACAAACAAAAAGAGTGGAGTTCATCCCAAAAAACGCCAAGGGCAACGGTCCAGACCTGAGCTTAAAGAGAGTCACTGCACTGCTATAATAATAATAGGGAAATACTTTAAGAGCCCATCTCTTGAAACGGAAATATCTCTTCAAATATAGCTGGTCTCTAGTGAAGGGGGATCACAGCTTAGGCCGCTAAATGATTGCGGGGGGGGGGGATTAGCAAGACGCAGCATAGATAGATCAAAATGTGTCAATTATGTCTTTCCTTTCTCTAATCCCTTTGGTCAGAATATCTTATTTTGAGGACTTTGGCGTGTTCATACAGTAGGTTGGATGAAAGCGCTTTAAAGTGATGATACGGAGTTTTGGTCTGCAGGTGAATTTCTGTACCAGCGCCGTGTGTTTTCTTTGTGCTACACGCCTGCAAATAGTGTTAGAAGAGCTTTATGGTGATAGGCTGGCAGCCTTCGATCCCCAAACAAATAACACATTTATACTATTTTGCTTTTGCCGCTGGCGTTCAAATAACATTTCTTCTGCTGCTTAAATGGGAATAAAACATTTTAAAAAGTATTGTGTTGTGCGACTTCACGTGACAGCAGAACCCTGGCAGAAGAAAAGAGGCAGGATTGTGATTCCAGCTCTTGTTAGGCTGTCGTCCCCCCCCCCCGTTAGATCTGACTGTCATGGGGAACCGTTTAAAGGAGGCTCTTTCCCAACCGTCAGCTGATCTCCACCGCCGAATGGGCAGAAACGAATAGCTGCACTATAGCTGCACATTTGCCAGCCGGTTTTCGGTGCCTCCAGTGTTTTCGTGTTGATCCATGTGTGCAGTCCTGAGAGAAGGCGAGTGCCCTCATAAGCTTTTGTTTGGTTTTGTTGCAGAAATATTCTTGACATGGGCTGCATTAAGGTTTTTTTTTTTTTTTTTTGATCGGACAAGAATTGTTAATCTGCCCATAACGCTGTGCCCTGTTCAATTACTTACATAATCTCTGACATGAGCCCGCTGGCTTGCGTCACTCTGTCATTGACAGCTGTCAACACAACACGGCCCGACGCACACAAATACACACTCGCTCACACGCGCGCATGGAAGCGAATGTGTTTCTTCTCTCCAACTGGTTCACATGCTTTCTTTCTTTGTAAATGAGCCAATGGAGAGAAAAAAGAGAGGCTTTGCGCAGACAGAAGGGAATATAGACGCCCCGATCTCAGACCTCATTTATTCTACATATCTATCATGAATCATCAGGCCATGAGAAAATGGTCCAATCGAGTAATGGGTTAAGCTCTGCGCATTATGAGGCCTGGGCATGGGTCTGTAATGTAAGGGATAATCGTAATCCTTAAACGTTATGTCAGTAGTCCAAGGGTTCAGTGGAAACAGCCAGGAGATTTTGACTGGTGATTTTCCATGTTTGCACAAGCTTAGAGGATATTCGTTTTTTATTTAAATTATTTGTTTTACCAGCATGCCACATCTCAAATTAAAACAATACAATTACCAGTGGGTTGATCTCAGGGCTGTGGAGAAGACGTTGAAGGGCACCGGGTGAACACGCAGAGTTGGCTGCCCCATTGTGCGTGTGCTCTGAGTGACACGTCATCCCCCTCAAAGGGCCCGCTGGTGTGGTGAATCAGTGCCCTTGAACTGCTCAACCACAGACGGACAAAGAACAAGCAGTGGCAGTGGGCTTGACTTGTCTCCTCGCTCTGCCATGCCCATTGTCCAACACACCCGCGACGGTCTGCAATGCTGCATGCAGGAAATCGCTCACCAGCCGCCGTCCGGCCCTCGCCGCGATGAGTGTGCTTCGATTGTGCTGCAGTGTGATTCACGCGTAATCTCGGCGTCTCGGCAGGTGTCTTTGAAGGGGCCGGCGTGCCGAGGCCATCTCGGATTCTGCGAGGAGCTGGTGGCTGCTGGGACGGGCTCTAGCATGGCTGCCCCTCTCACTGTGCCTGGCTTTGATGTCGTAAACAGTGCAGTGCTCGCTGGCAGGGAAGCGCGCATGGAGGGAGGCAGGCAGGCGGGCGCAGTGAATGGGATCAGTGGCGCTGCGCTGGTCAAGCTCAAGCAAGCCGGCAGCTGCCTGTTTCACAACAAGAGGCAGTTAACTATGGGGCGCCGTTTGTAAAATATTGCACGTTCTAAAATCCTGCGCAGTTTTTTCCACATTTAGCATTATCATATGAACAAAAAAGCACTTTTTCAAACATTTAGAGAGAAATTCATGTACATTCATGCAATAACTTTTCCAAGGATAATGTTTTGGCAGTAACACAAAGTTGTTAAATAAAAAAGGTCTAGGATTTTAGAACGTGCAACATTTTACAAACGGCGCCTTTACAAATGGCGCCCCATATTTAAGGCCCTTTTACCATAACACCTTAAATAGAGGCACATTTCATTTTGAAATGCGGTACGCATGACCGCAGTGGAGAGGGGGTTCACGGGCGCGGAACGTCGCGCAACCCCCCCTTGACCGGACCATCGCCGACGATTTGGCCGCGACGGTGAAGGGGGGGGGGTGCGCGGCCAGCTCCGCTTCTCAGAGGCTGGAGCTCAGAGCTCAGAGCCAAAAGCCTGTCGGCTGGATAGGGTGGGTGGAAGAAGCTTGGCTTAACTTTCCAGGACAACCACAGCCACAGCCCTGGACTGCCACCCAATGGCCGGGGTCTGCCAATGCAGCCTCTAGCTCACTGCAACCACAACTAGACATAATTACGGCACGCTTCAGTTGTTGTGAGTGCACGTCAGAACAAATTATGTAAGTAAAGGTGGCTAAAGACGCTATAGGAGTTGAAACGCACTGTACGGCTAATGCACATGCAGGGAGAACACCAAAACAAACAATCGAGTGCACTCGTACAGAGATAGACCTAACCCAAGTAACGAGGCACAGTACACAGTGAGCAATAGATTAATTATGAATTAACCCTCTACATGTAGGTTGTCGCCCCCCCCCCGTCTGGATTTCACTCTAATCCGGGCCGACGAGGTGCAATGCCCTCTATTGTGTGTGTGTGTGTGTGTGTGTGTGTGTGTGTGTGTGTGTGAGAATCACAAATCGCATGAGGTGTTGTCTGGAGGAGAACTAATTGTGCATGTTCACTACTCTTTTGTTCATTTTGCTAAAATGTAGGCTAATTCCATGTAAACATGGCCGGTGTTGTTGACTCCAGCAGCGCGAGGAGAACAGACTCTGATTCCTGGATGCGGCGGGGTTACTGGATTAGGGGCTCTGTGTTAAGGGGCTCTCTCCCGGGCGCGCCTCAGGGACAGGGACATTATCCACATGACACATTACAAGCTCGTAGGCAGATGATTAAAATGGGTTAGGGATCTTCGGATTGAACTTGAGAAGAAGAACTTATGATCTGATCAAACTAGTTTAAAGAGGTTGGTTGTTAAGGTGTAGGAGGGATATGTGAAGCTTCGAGTCTGATGAAGACACAGTCGGGCCTTTTGCTGGAGGGGAAAGGCTGATGTAACTCTTTGACATCAAATGTACCACCACTTTTTTATTTATCATTTTTTACTGCATCTTATTAAAGCAATACCATAGTATTCCTCCCCTAATTGGTAACGGCTGGTGTTGCAACAGCTCCACTAGCTCTGATTGGCTGGTTGCAGGAAGCCGCCACATTGTGCGAAAATATCCTGAGGTGATCTTTCCTCGATTTAGATCAGATAAGGGTGTTTGTCTGCCGCTGCAGCGTGTGAGTTGGGATGGTGGAACTGCCAAGTTGGGGATATGGAGGAGGGGCTATGATAGAGATCTCTACATTAGTGTTTTTCAACCAGTGTGCCGCGAGAAGATGTCAGGTGTGCCGTGAAAAAAACATTTTTTCCATACTGTCACTTCATTGGTGAAAAAAAAAAGAGCCAACTTGTGTGTTTGTGTGTGAGTGTCGTCGCGCTGTTGGTGGTATGAAGGCTCAATACTCCCCTCTGCCTGTGGGTGGCGGTACGCAGCATAATTAATAGGCAGATTTGCTGAGGCGACAATTTAAAAAAGTGAGATTAAGAGATGCCTTGGCATAAAGCCTGTGCCATCTTGGCATTATGATGATGTTACGTTTAATAAAACACAACAAATAGAACACGCGTTTCCCTGATTTCTTTCAGCATGAGCATAATTCTCTATGTTTGGGATTGATTTTCATATCATTTCCGGTTGTTGTTGTGCCGTGAGATTTTTTCAGTGTCTTAAGTGTGCCTCTCTGTCCCTCGTCCTCCGTGGCGGGTGAATCACAGGCCCATAGACATAATATACATAGACGCCGCATTGGCCGCTACCGCCTATTGGCACTGACGAGAAATGCAGCCGCCATCTTGGAACGGTCCTCCGCTCTGCTCAGTGTAATCTGTTTGCAGGTGCAATCAGCTGTGAGCGCATTCAATTAATCATACCTCACTGAATACCCAACTGATTTTCACGTGTTGTTTTTGCTGCAAAGGTCATACATGCAGCTATGACACAGGGCACATAGTTCGGCGTGTTTTAATATTCATTGTGGACTTAACAGTAATGTTATACTCTGATATATGATGTGATGTAGACTATGATAGGTATTTTGCAAATCACACTACTACTATAATTTTGATAGAGAAGCAGAAACAGATAGTAGTAGTAAAGTCAGACATTTAATACGTTAAAAACCAATATAGAATTAGAAATAAAATGAATTGAATATTTGCAAGCACACACAAATAACTTCAACAGAACGCCGGGTGTTTGCACCAAAGAGGGTCTAACTAACTAACTATCACACACACACACACACACACACATACACACACACACACACACACACACACACACACACACACACACACACACACACACACACTAAAACCCCTGGAATAGGACTGTCTTGCAGAGCTTCTTTCTCATGTTTCCTTTTTGCAGTTCCAGAGTGGTGAGTTTGGCAATGTGGTGCAGCCTTAGCTTGAGAAACACAGACACAACCTTATAATAATAATGAAACATTTTTTTAAAATAATACATATCTATATAGCACTTTACACAGTGCTGAAAGACCCTTTACATAACAGACAAAACAATAATATACAAAGATTAAAATATTTTAAAAAAATAAGATAAATCAAACCTTTACTGTGCCTTGTGATGGAATTACTAGGCCGCCGTGGTTTTTCAGGGCTAGAAGGTGGTAAGAAGCTGGTACAGCATCTCTAACCAAGCTAACCATGCTTTCCTCTATCCAATTCGAAGCACCCAAGGGAGCTTTGAATCCTTTGGCACGAGGATTGCGTCCATTCATTGTATCGAACAGCCTGTTAATAATCTACAAAGAAATATCAGCATTTAAAATCACTATCATTGCAGGGTTTTCCTTAGTTATCATAGTGGAAATCAAAACTCATCTATTCAAAATATAGAGAGAACACAGTACATAGTTATAAACTATATGCTCAACAGGCAAAAATGCAAGTTGATTCATTGATACTTGTACTTGATTTTATAATTCCTAATGTATCTCAATGAATTCTGCCGTGCCTCACAATCCATAAACTGAGAGTACCCAAGATCCCTCATTGTGCTGAGAGCAACTGACACAGAGCGACTCAGTGTCTGTGCAGCCAGGGACACCCTCATCTTGTGGTTCTCATAGTAGACATGTTTGTCTGTAAATTTATTGGCAGCATGCAGTTCATCCTTTTTTTGCACATCATTGAGATGATTGATGTACCTCCAGTTGATCTGTCCGGTGGTCGTTGCAATTGGACTGTATGCCTGCAGAGTAAGAATCAGTCACTGTTCAAACAAGTATAAAAGCAAAATGTTGATTATCAAGTCCAGCCATACCTGTGCAAATGGACAGACAACTGTTACAACAACTATAACTGTTAGCAGCAGAGACATAACTTGTACAAATAAGTCAAACAACGATCATCATTCACCTGCAACATATTACGTGCCAACTTGAGCATGTGGCAAGCGTCCATCATTACAAATACCCTCTCGCCAGTCACCGGATGCGGGAAGCTGGTTTGAAGCGGCTCTCGTGGGTCTCCCTTCAGCTCACACCCAAGTTGGTTGCACATACTGACATTGGAGGCATGCCCATCCATTGTCACACATACCACTCGAATTCCCCGTGCATGGAGCTCCTCCAAAGTATGACTGAGAAGTACCATTTGCGTTTCTGGAGAGAGAGACTTGGTCAGGAAGTAAGCAATGGGAGCCTTCCAATGTCCTTGTAGGCCAACTACCATGAAAACAAGAGCCTCAGTAGCAACATCGGTCTCACTGTTTCCATCACCCATGTCTACAAAACCAGACATTGACTGGCTATGTGGATTATATTAAACATGTTTTCTGATGGACATGGCATCCAACATGAGTGAAACACATCCATATTTAGCCTTGTCTCCCTGGCATCTTCTCTCGAGCATATCCAGCATCATCTTGTTTAGGCCAGGCTTTCCATCCACCAAACGCAGCCACCGGTAAAAAAAATAATAAGAGAGAATAAGCTATTTAACGTGTTTGCATCAGTAATTTCCAAAATCCAATTCAACCAGACAACATTAAGCCTACCTTTGTAATGTATGTGGATGTGGGAGGGGGAAATGTTTAGTCTCTCTGAGGTATTTGTATGTCTTTGGACCATGTAGATGGAGCGTGAGCGCAAACTTTCTGTAGTCCTTTGTGTACTCTTGGCCCTGCTTTGCCATGAGGTCTATCTGAAGATCTGAAAGTTTTAAAATGAATAAGTCCCCTTCAGATAATAACTAAGGAGTTTAATAATGGGAGTATTAATAACATGTACATGAATTTCAACTTGCTAATTTGTCTTACCGGAGTAGAATTCAAGCTTCTCTTTGAGCTCTTCATTAATGAGGTTCTTTTCCCTCAATTCCCCCAAAATACTCTTCATAGTAATCTTTGCCCTCTTTTCACTGGCCATGGCATTCTTCTTTTCTCGCTCCAGACTTTCCACTCTTGCCTTCATTGAGTCTAGTCTTAAGAGCGGTAGGAGAAGCAGGCAAGGCATAACCATGATCCTAGTTGAAAAAGAAATGAACATGGTTTGAGTGAAGTTTTATTTTACAAACATCACTTTGACACTACTAGTTTATGGCCCACATTCCTACTTATACGCATCACCTCTCAAAGCCACTGCCAGCACCGTGTGTGTGGTGTGTGTGTGTGTGTGTGTGTTAGGAATGCATGTTCAATGTGTCTTCAATTGTGTGTTGTATGGGTTTATTTGTGAGTGTGTTTAATATGAGTGGCAGCAAACAAGTGAGATTCTAATATGTCCAAAACATTATTATATTATGTTTAAAGTATAAATATTCACATCATTAGGCTGAGGCTGTGGGTGTGAGGTTGCCATTTCTTGGGAATCCTGAGAGGCCATGGACAGACATTCATCAGCTCTTCTGGAGGTAGAGGTAGACCTGCCCTTTTCCAACTAAAATGAAGAAGCATAATACATATTACCATACATACACACATATATATATATATATATATATATATATATATATATATATATATATATATATATATATATATGTGTATATATTAAAAAAGGGATAAGTATCTCACCCTGCCCTTATATGATAATAGAATATCTACATTCATGAATGCTAATGCTAATAGCCTACTTTTTGTAAGTGAACCGGGAAGCTGAAGACTGATGGAATAACACCATCTCGGAGTCGGACAATCTGACCCGTCTTATCAAAATCACTCTGCTTGAAGTGTTCACAGCAAAGCACTGATGAATCACTTGCTGTAAATCCATCTCTCCTCAAAGCCACTTCCCACTTCTTCCTCACACGTTTGTCCTTTGGAAACCTTCAAAATGAAAACGGAAGATTTGGGAGAGTCTACACAAAAACATTTCACAAAGAAGCTTATTTTCTTTCTTCACATTTCTTATAACCTTTCTTAAACAAAACTCCTTTCTTTCTTAAACTTGCTCCTTCTCTACTCTCTGGTAATATGCTTTTCACAAAACACAACAAATAGGACGGTAATATTAAATCTTACTTGTGAAAGGTTATCCCCCGAGCCCTGCTGGCGATGGTCCGCCGATTAGCGCAGAAATAAGCAGCACAGTGCTGTGGCCTCCTGCATCTTCTGCTGCTACGCAACTACGAGCACGACCGCTCCAAGATGGCGGCCGTATTTCTGACGACCAGAAGGCAATGCGGCGTCTATGTATTATGTCTATGCACAGGCCTGTCAGCGGCACAACACCGCGGCCGCCGAGCACTTTCAACTCTCAGCGCAAGCCCCTCCCACTGCAGTGGACATGCTTTGAGTCCTCGTGGCCGCGGTTGACTCACTCCCGGGGTTGTTGCGGTTTTGAAGTTTTTAGAGGCTTCGTGGAGGCTCCTCGTGATGCTAGACAGACTTGTGACAGCAAAATGTTGATTTATTTATTTGACTTTTTTTTTCATGCCTGCAGCTCAAATCGAAATAATTCCCTGCAAGATCTGTGGAGACAAATCATCAGGCATCCATTACGGCGTGATAACATGTGAAGGCTGTAAGGTGAGCATCAAGAGACCGGAGCCGTCATGGGAAGCACTGATTGTGAGGGTGTGTGTGTTGGGGGGGTTCGGGGGGGGGGGGGACATGATATCTGTAAGACATTTGAAGAGGTACCGAAAGTTGCTTGCTAGGAAAAACATTTACAAATGTTGCTGAAGTTTTACAGGGATTTGCATAGGGACTGCGTGTAGACACAAAGAAAGCGATCATTAAAGTGGTCAAGCACCACAGAGGACATCACAGCAGGCACAATTAGTAGGACAAAGTCATCCGTCTGCCTAGCTCTGAAGGAAAGTGAAAAGACACACGTCTTTTCACTTTCCTTCTTCTTTTTTTTTGCTTCCGCTGCAGCTTGCTCTTCTTGAAATAAAATGATCAAAAGGAAAGTTCTTTGAATTATAGCAGATTGTTGGCTGTTTGCTACAGTGTTGCTTCCATTGAAGGTGCTTTTTGTACTGTTCCAAATGCGCCAGCCATTCACAGTGAGGGGAATTTTGTGCTTAGAGTGTATTCTTGTTCCAGCGCTTGTCACCAGGCACATCATTAGTATTCCTCAGCCAGCCTGCACCTTTACTGTTTGCTCCTGCATGCGTGTGTGTGTGTGTGTGTGTGTGTGTGTGTGTGTGTGTGTGTGTGTGTGTGTGTGTGTGTGTGTGTGTGTGTGTGTGTGTGTGTGTGTGTGTGTGTGTACAGAGAGCGAGCAGGTTGGCTAAGCTCCCTCAAACAGGAGCTGGAAGGAACAAAACAGGAAAGAACAAACTGCTGAAATCTATCTTTAATGATTGCTAATTAGTCCAAAGCAGAGAGGCCTTTAATGATATGTGCGAGTACAAAAGTTTGGACCATAAATCATAGCATTATTAAAGAGTGCTGCTTGTCACTGGCAGTTATAGCCTAACGCATCACCGTTAGACATGCAATGATCGTGCATGTAAACAGCATAACCTGCACGTACTGTCGGGGTTATGCGTCTGCACACGCTCCGCTAAAGCCGCTTCCCCCCCACTCCGCTGCAGCGGCTCCTATGCGCTCTACAAGCGCGTTCCTGGTTTCAAAACTCCGCCAATCACTCCTAATAGCTCGTCGAAGCATCCCAGCATCAGCAGTCTATTACTGAATCTTACAGACACAAACCACACTGATGGCATGAAGTTAAAGTTAAACCACTCAACGAAGCCCCGTTATTAATGGACATGGCTGAAATCCGGTCATCATAGTCGACAAGCCCAAGTTGTATTGGGGCGCTCGCTCCTTTTGCTTGACGCACGCTCCCGATCTTGAATCTAGAATTGATTGCTCTTCCTTGGGTTCCCGGATGTTGCGGTTTGAATTTTTTTGCATTGAATTTTTGCATTGAATTTTTTTGCATTGAATTTTGTGCGGTTGAATTATTTGCGGTTGAATTTTTTGCAGTTGAATATTTTAATGTTGAAAAACATTCAGATACATGATTTCAATGCATAAATATTCAGTGCTAGAAATTCAATCACCTTTTTCTTTCAAAATCCGATGACACAGATTTACTTCCATACCTGTTTCCTTAATGGCTTCCATTATAAAGCAACTTGGCAGCTGTCAGCTGTTTTCTTGTAATTAAACAGCCAATGAGCATCTAATTAAGACATATGTGTATGGAACAGAAGAGTGGGGCATGTTAATGATGTGCTGGAATCAATTCATTAAGTCAAAGGATGAGGAATCCAGTCGGTGTGCGCTCGCGATCCGTCCGCGCTGCACATGACGGTGCTGCGTTAATCAACACTAATAGCCCCAGTGAAGAAAAATAGCATCCACTGTTATCGTTCCTACCCAAACACACAAACATACGCTGCACACACTGGTGAAATAAAACACCATTTGAACGGCCGATTCAACAGCCAACAGCAGCAGTATTGTCTAATCTGTTTGGCAGCAAATAAAATAAAAGTATCAGCAGCAGGAAGACAGTAAATCATTACCAGTCAGCTGATGATATTCACTAAATATGCACTAAAATCCCAATGAAACTGATCCTTCAGTCCCAGAGCAGTTCTCCTCCCCACGGCGGCCCATCCAGTGACCCAAAGCGATTGCGTGCCCCTTTTCTGTTCAGGGCTTCTTCAGGAGGAGTCAGCAGAGTAATGCGGCCTACTCCTGCCCCCGTCAGAAGAACTGCCTGATCGACCGCACCAGCCGCAACCGCTGCCAGCACTGCCGGCTGCAGAAGTGCCTGGCGGTGGGGATGTCACGAGATGGTGAGTGCTTGTTGGGAGAGGTGGGCGGGCACGGCAATGGGAGGGAGGGAGGCGCATGTTGAATCAGGGGAGGTGAAGAGCTCAGTTTCAAGCGCCTGTGTGGGCAAGAATCTGCTCTGCTGGAGTGTGTTTGGAGCGCTGCTTCGGGGACACAGGTGGACTCTGGCCTTCGTATGAAGGCGGGCAAGAGAGGAAAGGATTTACTCAGGGGATCAAAAGATCAATGACATTTCATGAAGGTATTGTTTATTTAGGGCTCAGTATTTATTACGACAAACGAGGCAGGAATATATCTGTTTATTTTGAATTTAAAAAATGAGGAAGGACTGGATGAGAAAGTCAAATACAAATTAAAAAGGAAGAGGACGTTGTTTTTATAAACTGTGTGCAATTTCTCTGTTGCAACTTAAAGCTGCTTTTATGTGTCTTTATTGTCATCTGGCCCCCACATACCATTGATGGCATGTTACTAACTACTGACATTTGAGTACAAACACACGGATAATGAACTCCTTTATTCTCCAAGAGACACGACAGACACGTCCCAAGAAAATTATGACATGAACACATGCTAAGACGTCAGTCCGTGTTGTCTGCCAGTAGCAGGTGAGGTGCTTTGTCTGTGGGACTAATTTGTTGCTGTGATAGAAACTAGGTTTGATGAAATAGGAGGTTGTTAGAGGATGTCATTAGCGCTGCTGCAGCTGTGACGCTGTAATGGGAGCACACAGGTGGGAATTGTGTGCGGGAGGGCTCTCGCTCTGCCAGGCTGGTCCAGACTGGACCAGTCCAGTCTGAGCTGAGAAGATAATATCAGAACAAAGCAGATCTATGTGCTTTTTTCCCCCTTTTTTTATTAAACCCACACATGAATTCACACAGACAAGGCTGAACAGACACGGCCGTCTCTCTATGCTAATTACTTAAATTCAGTTACGCACAGCCGTGCATATTCATGCATACGAATGAACACAGACGTACATTAGCACTTATGAGTGGCTTTGCGTACCCAGACGCTTGCACATATACGCACACGTATATATATATGCACACACTCAGGACAGACGAAGGTGACTTTTGCTTTCACTCAACACACCAGAGCCCATCTGCCCGCACCCTCCTCCTCCTCCTCCTCCTCCTCCTCCTCGCCGCTCCACTCGCTTTTCACTGGGCCTCGACAAGAACACACACACACACACACATTTACACACACTGTGACTGGCTGACATGCTGCCACACACCCAGAACTCTGGCCAAGGAGTCACAATCTCCACCACCAGTGGTTAGTCCTGAAACCTTTAAACAGGAGGCAGCGACTTAGCACGTCTCATGTTTGAGTGGCTGGTAAGCTGTTAGTCAATTCATCACTTCCCACTTCTGCCTCTCCACAAATGAAGCCGTTTATCCTTTTTTTTAAATAATCTCCTTAGTGAAATCCAACGAATAGTGTAAGCAGATAGATAATAAAATTTATTCGCAGAGCCAAAGCCGGGCTTTTTCTAAACATAACTGTTATCTGTTAGTGTCTATAAAATTATGAAATTAGGTTTGTTTATGTTGGTAATTCCTCAATAATAAAATAAGTACAGTAAAGTATCTAATAAGACAATTATCCAGCTAACTTGGGCTTTCACAGTGTTGTGATGTAATGCAATGCTTCACTCGAGAGTAACACGTGTTTTGTCCCGCTAACCACAGCGGTGAAGTTCGGCCGCATGTCGAAGAAGCAGCGGGACAGCCTGTACGCTGAGGTCCAGAAGCACCGGCTGCAGCAGCAGCAGCGGGACCACCAGCAGCAGCCCGGAGAGGCGGAGTCGCTCACGCCGACCTACGGCCTCTCAGCCAATGGCCTCACCGAGCTCCACGACGACCTCAGCGGCTACATGGACCGTCACACCCCTGATGGCAGCAAACCGGACTCGGCGGTCAGCAGCTTCTACCTGGACATCCAGCCGTCTCCTGACCAGTCAGGCCTGGACATCAACGGCATCAAGCCGGAGCCCATCTGCAACTTTGACCCCGGTTCTGGCTTCTTCCCTTACTGCTCCTTCACCAACGGAGAAACCTCCCCCACCGTGTCCATGGCTGAGCTAGGTAAGTGGCAGGACGGAGGCAAGGGGGGGGGCGAGATGGAGAGACAGCAAAATGGAGGAGGGGAGAGGGGGGGATAACTCAACCGTGGGGCAAACAACACAAAGGTTGCTTAAAATAGCAAGAGGTTGGAGACTCATCTCCAACACTCATTAAAAGAGCCTCTTTTTTGTAATTAGTTTCCATTAATTAGGGCCAATCAGGATCCAGCAGGGCAGGCGTCGAGGGAAATCATTTTTTTCGGCTCCCCTGTGTCCAGGAACTCCTTTTAACAGATGTGTTTTCAAATCCATTTAAATTCTTATACTCAATATTTCTCTCAGAGAAAATGTGACTTTTGTTTCAGTGAGCAACGTGGCGCCCCTCCTCCTCGCCACGCATGTGTGTCATAACTAGATTGGCTGTGCCTCAATCTTAAGTTATGAGCTTCCTGGAGGCATTGAAAGGAAATGTCAACAAGCCTTTTCCTAGTCCAAAAAAAAAAAAGCCCACGCGTATCCGCCTCTCCTCCTTTTCCAAAGGCTCAGTAAATAAATCTTCTTTTCCTGTGGCACATTGTGGCATATCACCAATGAGGGCTTCCCTTTCACACATCCGTGCGGAGTAACATTCACATCTCAACCGTGATCGTCTTGCATTGCAGAGCACCTGGCCCAGAACATCTCCAAGTCACACATGGAGACATGTCAGTACCTGAGGGAGGAGCTGCAGCAGATGACCTGGCAGGCCTTCCTGCAGGAGGAGGTGGAGAGCTACCAGAGCAAGGTGCTGCCACCCCGTCCGGGCCTTTTGCCGGCCCTCCGCAGCAGCGAGAGTTATCGAACCCATTGTTTTAAAGCCGATAACCCATTCTCTGTCCTCTGTCCTATCTGTCCTCAGCCCCGGGAAGTCATGTGGCAGCTGTGCGCTATCAAAATAACAGAGGCCATTCAGTATGTGGTAGAGTTCGCAAAGCGCATCGACGGCTTCATGGAGCTGTGTCAGAACGATCAGATAGTGCTGCTGAAAGCAGGTATGACAGCCTGTCAACATGGCCTGTTGCCGTCAAACTCATGGAGTCAAACCCCCCCCCCCCACCCCCCCCCCCTTCTCCTCTGGCATTGTCACAAGAGCGTAGCTGACCTGACTGCACAAATTCCTCCTCTTCACGCACGCAGACAGTGTCACAGAGAGGAGACCCCCACCCTGCCGCTTTCCTCTTTCCGCCTGGTTCGCTCCGTGTTTTATTCTCTTTCATTCCGGTCATAGCAGGGACGGACACGGCATTAGATAAGCAATGCATTCTTGATAATACCTATCATGACTGCTGCCATTCCCCTCTCATTCCTCGGACACCCATGATGTCTGCTTATTCAAACTGCTCTCAGCGAGACAGCCTTGGCGAATATTCAATGCGGCGATGGCTGTGTGCACACGGTGAACTATATTTACGCATAAATACAGGTGCCGGAGCACACATGCGGCAAACGCGCACCTCTCTTGGGTCTTTCCTTGAGTATTATTGACATCAGCACAGCCAATATGAATTATGAAATAAAGACTGAGATCCCTTGTCAGACATGACATTTAAAACAGTTGTCTTCTCCCTCAGAGGCAGTAATGGCTTCTGTTACATTCCCGTGATCCTCTAATCAACTCCCACAGAGTGGTACAACATTGTACGGTAGAATAAATTCCCCACCTATCTTGCTAAATAAAGGTTGAATGAATAAACACCGCCGCTATTGAAAGAAGCTCAATGTGTTATCTGGCATGTCATTACGGGAGAATAGCCGTCTGTCTATGATATTATCATCTGCAGAGGATGGTTTTTATTTTTTTTCTCTCCCTCTGACAGCAGGCGTCTTCGTGTCAAAGTGGTTGTGCTACTCACGTGGTAGAAGAATAGCACAAAGCACGGCCGTGTGTTTTGCATCCTTTACTGATGTGTAACTGTTGGGGGGGGGGGGGAAACAACGCTCAGATTCCGCATCTTGTTCCTGTCTGTCTCCGTAGGCTCTTTGGAAGTCGTGTTCGTCAGAATGTGCCGTGCCTTTGACTCGCAAAACAACACCGTCTATTTTGATGGAAAGTATGCCGGACCTGATGTGTTCAAATCATTAGGTGAGTACAATGTGTGTGTGTGTGTGTGTGTGTGTGTGTATGTGTGCGTGCACATACGTGTGCGTGCTTGAACACATTGGCATGTGTGGATCTGTATGCTGCCGTGTAGACTAAGCACTCATCCCTGCCTCACCTGGCAGCTCTGTCTCTTCAATGGACTAAGACCTCCCGCCACACAGTTTCTTCCCGTCGGCAGTCGGGCTCATCAACAGAGCCCAGTCCCCCACTGACAGACTATAACATTCCACCGGTCACTCCCCTTCACACTGCACATGTCACTTTAACTGTCATTTCTCACTTTGTCGTCACTCGTCACTTTGTTGATAGTGCACTTTATTTTTTATATTTTTTATATTTTTTAACTTTTTGAATATTTTACATTATAAACTATTCTCTTGTTTTATACTAACCCATTGAACCAGAACACTACGCCTGCAGAAGGATCAGGCATTTAGGAGTGGGGACAAAGACTTGTACACAGAGGCAAAATACAAGTTTAGCAAGGCGGTGAGAGATGCTAAACGACTGTACTCTGAGAAACTCCAACAACAGTTCTCAGCAAGTGACTCTGCTTCGGTCTGGAGAGGCCTCAAACACTACAAGCCAAAAATCCCCCACTCCATGAATGACCTCCGCCTGGCAGACGAGCTGAATGAGTTCTACTGCAGATTTGAAAGACAATGTCCTGATCCCATCCCCCACAGCTCCACCAACCTGCTGCAGTCCCCCTCCCCTCCCTCCCCCAACCCATCAGGTGATCACGCCTCTTCAACTATATCGCCTTCCCCTCCCCCACCAGCAACGACCCTCTCTATTCTGGAGAGAGACGTTAACCGGCTCTTTAGAAGACTAAATCCCCGTAAGGCAGCCGGTCCGGACTCCGTTTCCCCTTACACCCTGAAGCACTCCGGTGTTCACTGACATCTTCAACACCTCCCTGGAGACATGCCACGTACCAGCCTGCTTCAAGGCCTCCACCATCATCCCTGTCCCCAAGAAGCCCAGGATCACAGGACTCAATGACTACAGGCATGTCGCCCTGACCTCTGTAGTCATGAAGTCTTTTGAACGGCTAGTGCTGACCCACCTGAAGTCCCTCACCGACCCCCTCCTGGACCCCCTGCAGTTCGCCTACAGAGCCAACAGGTCTGTGGACGATGCTGTCAACATGGCCCTCCACTACATCCTCCAGCATCTGGACTCCCCAGGAACCTACGCCAGGATCCTGTTTGTGGACTTCAGCTCTGCCTTCAACACCATCATCCCGTCTCTGCTGCAGGACTAACTCTCCCAGGTGCACGTGCCCGACTCCACCTGCAAGTGGATCACAGACTTCCTGTCTGACAGGAAGCAGCACGTGAAGCTGGGGAAACATGTCTCAGCCTCTTGGACCATCAGCACCGGTTCCCCCCAAGGCTGCGTTCTTTCCCCTCTGCTCTTCTCCCTGTACACCAACAGCTGCACCTACAGTCACCAGTCCGTCAATCTCCTAAAGTTTGCGGATGACACCACCCTCATTGGACTGATCTCTGGTGGGGACGAGTCCGCCTACAGGTGGGAGTCTGACCATCTGGTGTCGTGGTGCAGTCAGAACAACCTGGAGCTTAACGCTCTAAAGACAGTGGAGATGGTTGTGGATTTCCGGCGGAACAGAGCCCCACCCTCCCCCATCACCCTGTGTGACTCCCCCGTCACTATTGTGGATTCCTTCCGTTTCCTGGGCTCCATCATCACCCAGGACCTCAAGTGGGAGCTGAACATCAGCTCCATCACCAAGAAGGCTCAGCAGAGGTTGTTCTTCCTGAGGCAGCTGAAGAAACTCAACCTGCCAAAGACGATGATGGTCCACTTCTACACGGCCATCATCGTGTCCATCCTCTGCTCCTCCATCACCGTCTGGTACGCTGCAGCCACAGCCAAGGACCAGGGCAGGCCGCAGCGGGTCATCCGCTCTGCAGAGAGGGTGATCGGCTGTAATCTGCCGTCCCTGCAAGACTTGTTCGCTTCCAGGTCTCTGAAGCGAGCTAAAAAGATCGTGGCCGACCCCTCTCACCCCGGACAAAAACTGTTTGTGCCCCTTCCATCTGGCAGGAGGCTGAGGTCCATCAGGACTAAGACCTCCCGCCACACAAACAGTTTCTTCCCGTCGGCACTCGGGCTCATCAACAGAGCCCAGTCCCCCACTGACTGACTCTAACATTCCACCGGTCACTCCCCTTCACACTGCACATGTCACTTTAACTGTAATTTCTCACTTTGTCGTCACTCGTCACTTTGTTACTTGTTCGCTAGTGTACTTTATGCTTAATATTTTTTAACTTTTTTAATATTTTAAATTTTAACTTCATTCCCTTGTTTTATACTAACCCATAGCCTTATTCTACTAACCCATAACATTAGCATTTGATTTACTTTATTTTATTACTTGTGCACTGCTGTCTTGTTGTCTATTGTCACACTGTCTACTGTCGCGCACCAACCGCCAAGACAAATTCCTTGTATGTTTGACATATTTTGGCAATAAATGTTTCCTGATTCCTGATTAACTAAAAGCCTCAATAGTGACTCTTATTTGGCCTTGCATAACACCACCCAAACTGCCAAAAGTGACTCGTCTGGGAGGCAAAACTCGGTAAAAGCATCGCCTGCTCTGCTTAAGACGCTCCCATGTGCTGTCAGCATGCCGCTCTTTTTCATTCCTCCCCCTTCCTCTCCCTTCCCTCGTGTGCCTCTCTCCCAATAAAGATCAAGGGTGGATGTTGTTCTTTGGTCTTCCTCGTGCTAAGCCCTCTCTCTGTGTCCTTTGCTGTGGCAGGCTGCGACGACCTGATCAGCTCTGTCTTCGAGTTTGGAAAAAACTTGTGTTCTATGCACCTGTCTGAGGATGAGATCGCCCTGTTCTCCGCCTTCGTGTTGATGTCTGCTGGTAGGTGTCACTCACAGTGCAAAGAGGAAAAAAAAAGTTAGACACACAGCCGCCAACACAAAGAACGTGGTCGCCCTCCTGTTTTCCTCAGTTAGTACCTGATATTGGTGCAACTGCGTCATTAAGGGGCTTTTAGGCAGTGTGTTATCTGCAAAAACAAACGGTCATATTCATCTCCCTTCCAGACCGGTCTTGGCTACAGGAGAAGGTGAAGGTGGAAAAACTCCAACAGAAGATTCAGCTGGCCCTCCAGCACGTCCTGCAGAAGAACCACAGAGAGGATGGTATACTTACAAAGGTAAAGCGTGACGCAGTACACTTCCATTCAGTATCCCCGGAAGTAGCTGCCTGATAAACATGCCCCACCATTATGGCAGTGCAATCACCTACTGTTTGGGGTATTCATCTGCCGGCCATCAACCATTTCCTTTGATTAGCGTACACACGGTGCACAGGGGGAGGCCTTCGTAACGTTTGACTAAATGCTTTTTTAGCAGCGGATAAGTGGCAATTCATCAGCTCCATATGAGGTGTCAAGTGCACCTTTTTTTTTTGCCTGAGCGCTTGTCTCAAAATGTACAAGTCTGTCTACCCCTGTGCGCGAGGGAATACACTGTGGGGCGGGATGTTTTTCAACCACCATTGCTCCATGTCCTTGCCTCGGTGTGAATCTAAACAGCCTGTCTCCTTTCTCTCCACAGTTGATATGCAAAGTGTCGACGCTGCGAGCGCTGTGCAGTAGGCATACAGAGAAGCTTACGGCTTTCAAAGCAATATATCCAGACATTGTGCGTTCCCACTTCCCCCCTTATACAAGGAGCTGTTTGGATCAGACTTTGAGCAGTCCATGCCCGTTGACGGGTAGCAGCCCTGCCAGGTGCCACTGTGCCCACCGTAGGGGAATGTGGAGGAGGAATCTGAGACACTTTATTGGTGCCCTGCACAAAACCAGAGCGGACAGATGGCACGCTGTTCAACTTCTTCTTTTACTTTGAAGGGAGGGCTTAGGGAGTTGATTATTAAGGTTTACTTTATTGAGTTTAGTTCTCTTTTGGAAGGCTTGTGGGACTTGACATGAAGAGATTGGGACAAATGATTTGATCTGTGTGGTTGAACTTGATCCTATTTTGCGCATTTCTATGATTCACTTCATGTTATTCAAGCGTTTTCACCAGTCGTTTTGGCATCGACCTTATCATTTACCTGTGCATCTGACTTGTACGTACATAAACAATTTGGGAATTTAAAAATAGCCCAAGACATCAGTATTATTTGTCAGAGTACATATCCAAAATGAAAAAAATCCCTTTCTCCCCCATAGTGAAATAAACTGCTGACAAATGTGCACATTTTGGTCAAGTTCAGCCCTTTTTCTGTTGTGTTCAGTCGTACCGTTTGGATGCCGTTCTTGGAATGAAAACTCACAGCGACTTTGAGGGAGGGTCTGTCGGCATGGTGATGCAATCGACACCTCTCTGTCGACAATCGTTTTAAAAAAAGAAAAGAAAAAAACACATAGAATTCTGGTAATTCTAATGAAAACGCAATGATTTTAGCTGTCAAAGACTCCATCCACCATTGTTGCATAGTGAAATCATGTAAGGCCATCTGCTATTAATCCTTCTCTGGACAGGTGCCCTGGAGAAGGGCACCAACACAATGAAAAGGGTCCATTCCACCTGTTTTATAATGTACTTCAGGGTATATGGTCATAAGTACTTACTATACAGAAAAAAATAATGTTTATATAATCTATTTTAAATAACATGTACAATATTGGTAGTTAGACCATTCTTAATTGTTGAATTGATAAGGCACTTTTCTTTACACCTTTCTTTAATTTAAGACTTGTATATTTACCCAGTGATGTGTTGCATGTGCACAAGAAATACAAGTTGAACCACAGAGGCTGCAGAGGACACCGGCCTGTTAGGAGTGCTGGCGAGGCGAGGCTGCCGCTGAGTGAACAAAGAGGCTTGGATGAGAACGCAGGTTAGAGGAGCTTTTACCTCATCAACGGACTTCATCCTTTTAGTCAGAATGAACTCTTTTGTGACAGTTTTTTTTTTGACCTTTTGTTATGAACTGACCCGGGTTGAACAGCTAGAAAAAGCAAGCGAGAGACTAAGGAGGATGTTGTTTGGTGAGGCACAGGTATTATGTAAAGAAGGACACAAGAAGACAGAAATTAGACAACCGGGCCAGGTTTTATAGACTATAACACAATTGTTCCATCTAGTGGAAAGTGAAGATACAGCAAGCAAGTTGACAGCCTGCTGACAAAGATTTAACTTCTAACCTAAAAGCACATCCATGAGCCACTGTCCCAACTTCTCTGCTTTGTTTTGCTGTTATTTTGAGAGACTTCATCTGCCTTCTCACCACAGCCTCGGCCTCGGCAACGCCCCAACAGGACATAAAGGAACAGTGAAGGGAAAGGGAATATTCAAAGCCTTGTCTGGTAGTAAAGCTTCTATTTTGTAACACGTTTTGGTTTAAAAAACTCTTGAAAGAGAACGAGGGAGAGGAAAAGATGTCAGGTAGCACTTAGCAACTATATTCCTGCAATAATTAAACTAGCTGTTGTTTGTCCGATTAGGGGAGAAACATACGGTAGGACAAGTGCTATTTTCAGAATGCTTTGTTGTTGTGCTTCTGTTTTGTTGAGTGTGTCTTTCTCGTCAGTGTGGTAGTAAAGTAAACCCTGGATATGGCAAACGGTAGTCGTTGCTTCCCCTTTCCAGTCTACTCGTCTGTAACATAGAATGGATTCCTAAGACATTCCAGCAATCTCAGTAGCAGCTTCTAGAAATATCTTTAAAAAACAACAAAAAAGATTTTTTTTAAAAGAAAAGGAAAAAATAATATCTCTTTAGAAACCCAACAAAGCATGTTGATGCATCTGTCACCAACCGTAACATAAATCCAGTTGTTTGTCTTTTGTTTGCACACGATCATTCCTCAGCCGTGCAATTTGTACTAGTGCTGTCACCCCTCAGGGAAGAGTGTCTTTCGCGCTTTCTGTTTGAGAGGACATTTATTTGTACTCATTAGTTTGTGTTGCGTGTGTTGTTTTTTGTCAGAGATGATTTCTCATTTGAACATTCAAGCAAATTTTACATTATCGACGTCCTGAAGGGGCCCCCAGCCACGCGAAGACCCCTGCGTCCCTTTGGTCAAACTCAAGAAAAAAACAAAAAACACTAATTTATGTAAACAACAAAACCCATCACTTTTCAAAGACCGACCTTTGCAACGATATTAGCAACGTGACCGTGCTTTGGTAGACGTTATAACCTGTATTAAGCATATTCCTGTCAAACAAAAAAAAAAAAATCTGTTTTGGTTTCAAACGGTGTCATCAGGGTCTTTAAAAATGATAACCCTCTTTGTTAGAAAAACCAAATATTCTTATGCAATACTAAATCTGTTGTGTTTGGGTTGTAGTAGATATGCTGTACCGATGTAATAATCTCTTCTGATCCAAGGCTGTTTGGATATGCACAAGCCCTCTACGACTAGCACACCTCAGTCTCCCAGCAAAAGAAGAAAAAAAAAAAAACAGTCTGAAACACTGCTAGACAATCCAGGTTGAGGGGCCCGGTGGCCCCGCGAGAGGATAAGGTGTGAACGCTCAGGGAGGTAACAGGTAGCCGAAGAAGCAGCCGTTCCCCCACCCCCCCCCCCCCCCCCCCCCCCCCCCCCCCCCCCCGGACAGTTGCAGAGCATTTGTTTAGCTCTCATGCGAATTTATGAGGTCTTTAAAAATCTCTTCAAAGCACCCGATTGATATGAGAAGGCCGGCGTAGCACATTGAACGTTTGGAGCATCGAGCACTTACTGTTCAGAAAAGTATTAATAGATGGAGGCTCAGCTGAAATCCTGTTATTTATTTGCAAAAAGATTCCATTTTCTTAAGCTGTCTCTTTCGTCTCTGATAAAGTGGGGGAAAAAATTCATTTTTTTTCCAGAATGGCGTGTAATGTGTACAATACAAAACAAGCAATATGCCTTGTCTTACAATACGGGTCTCTACAGTGCAGTCATCGTCCTTTTTATTTGACTTTGTTCGTTCTGCTGAATCAAACTAATGATACAACAACAAAAAAAATACCCACACTCTGTCATCTCTGTACTGTTATGATCTTGGCACGATAGCAGAAAATGGTCATTGAACACATGATTTCTTGTGTCTAACGATAAACTGCGCCTTCACACAGGCCTGTAAAGTGATGTCCTTCTGTGTATTCTCACATGATATAACCCAGTTCATGTAAGGGATTAATGCTAAGTGTGCTATTCAATCAGTGTGTAGTATACAGTAAAATGTGCTGGTCCTTCTGTCTCTGCTCCGTTGTCTGTCTGTACAAAGCAATAGTGTGTGTGTGTGTGTGTGTGTGTGTGTGTGTGTGCGTGTGTGTGTGTGTGTGTGTGTGTGTGTGTGTGTGTGTGTTTGTTCTCACAGTGTGTGAATAAATGAAACCCCAGACAAGGCTTTAATAATTACAAAGGAACAGGGTTACGTGGAAAATGATTTTCTCTTGGTCTATTTTAGAAATGTACGGTTTTGGAATTGCCGAGCTTGATCCATCCATAATACGTGTAGGTTTTTTTTAAAAGCATGACATAATACCTTCAACAATTCATGAGTGTGCCGAATGCTGGGAGGCACCATTGACCAGCTTCTCAGCGCAAAACATTATCGGTTCGGACAGTGCGGCCACGGCCCGAGCTGTGATGGATTGAAACGAATTCCGAGGGAGTAAATTGTTTAAACGAGTCTTCTCGGCCATACATTGTGAAGATCTGTGTTACGTCGCGTTTAACGTTGTGCTGGAATGTCGGTGTGTTATCCCGAAATTATGAGTCGGTCATCATATTCTAAGGCAATCATTTTTACATACTGTTACTTCATTGGTGAAAAAAAAGAGCCAACTTGTGTGTTTGTGTGTGAGTGTCGTCGCGCTGTTGGTGGTATGAAGGCTCAATACTCCCCTCTGCCTGTGGGTGGCGGGTACGCAGCGTAATTAATAGGCAGATTTGCTGAGGCGACAATTTAAAAAAGTGAGATTTAAGGCCGGCGCATGCTTCTGCGTTTGCGTCGTTGCGTCGACGCACTGGTTTCAATTCATGGTTCTGCGTGTGTTGCAGAGCAATTCACCGCCAGAACAACAGGCGGAGTGACGTGTTTTGTTGAAGACGACCTAGAGAGTCACGTCTATTTATTTATTTGTTTGTTTATTTATCATAGACTTTATTGCCCCGTGCATCGCCACTCCTGCTTTTCATCGCGGACACATTTGTCCCGTATTTTCCTGCACAACTTTGTTCCTCTCGACCGGCAAACTGGCGTTTGCGGAGATCTCCCTCCGTGAATCCAACCCGCTTCTACAACCCGCCAATGACGGCTTGTATAAGCGGTCATATTTACGCATTTATTCCGACAAAAGTTCTTAAATCTGATCCGTTCTCGTAAACATCCTTCGTTTTAATAATGGCGGTATCGGGCTATGAAAGCGGAAATGTGAGACTCTGTAAAGGACGTAGTTAGCGGACCAATCGCAGCCTGGTGCGCTGCGGGAGGCTTGCAGACGCAAGCCTAAAAAAATGGCTCGACACACGCAAGGACGCAAGGAGGTGTGAAAAGCGACGCAAGGGACACGCAGAAGCATAAACTAGGCTTAAGAGATACCTGGGCATAAAGCCTGTGCCATCTTGGCATTAGGATGATGTTAAGTTTAATAAAACACAACAAATAGAACACGCGTTTCCCTGATTTCTTAGAGTATATTATGCTCATGCTGAAACTATGTTTGGGATTGATTTTCATATCATTTGCGGTTGTTGGTGTGCCGTGAGATTTTTTCTGTGTCTTAAGTGTGCCTTGACGCAAAAAAGGTTGAAAAACACTGGTCTAAGGAACTCATTTTCCAAAGCACAGCTGATAAGTATTTATGATTCAAAATAAGTTGAAGAATATAGTGAAGAAAAAAAAATGAAAAGCAACTTTTAGCCATAATCGAATGTCAAGCAATAATATATGTCTGTGTTTTATTTTGGATTCTTTTGTGCATAATAGTCTTTGAACATCTGCATGTAAATACACCATTTTAATTTATCACTTTTTGGTTTACCTTGTGTTGATTTTGTGGATGTTTTTAATGTTCCATTTGACTAGTTCTGTTCCCAGGTGGAGAACTAAGAACTTCTTTTCTCACTCTTGATCTCCCTCATTGTCAACCGCTTATTCACCATATTTAATATCATTGATCACATGTATAAAGGTAGCTAATTTCTGTCTGTATAGGTAAGAAGAAAATACTGCTACTAAGGCCTACCCTGGGAAACTATTTATCTGTTTGTCAATTACCCCCTTTTGTACGATATCTCTCTAGTTTGCTTCCCTCCTTTAGGATTAGTTTGATAGAGATCGGGTGTGCTGACATTTATTTTGTGTTGCCCTGATGTGTGGTGCTAGGTTAAGTTAATTTTGTGAACTAAGTATTAATTCCTACGCCTGGCTTCCCTATTAGTCCATTCATTTCATTGCATATTAATGTGTGATTGATATTAGGACTCAATAAATTATAATGATATTAAAAATGATAGTGGTAAAATTACCCGGTAGGTACCTGTATCAGTGTGCTAGTCTCGGGAAAAGGCACTTATTTCCTTCTGACTTATAGGACAGCTAGTGTCTCCTAATTAACAAACTATTTAAGGTTGCTTTTCTGCTTTGTGGAAAAATGCTCAGATTCAAACTGAAACCACTGAATTGTGTTGTGTTTTTTCTCTGTCTGATTGTAATAAACCACTCACTGAGGCTATAGTTGGTCAGGTTTTAAGATACTTAATATTTACCTCTCTTTGTGTCTGCATAGTTCTTCACCTGATGCAGGGAAGTGGTGCTTGGATTTATTAAACAGAGTCTCGGTATATGCTTTTGTTATTCCCAATTTTAGACTATCCAGAAACTGGCTCCTTCACTCCAGTAGTGTAAACCTCTTGCACCACATCAAGTGTTGCAATTTTACCGTACATGAAAAAAAATTGCAATTTGAGGACAAAGTTGACCTTTTCTCTCCACTCTGTAGCAAATATCAGTGAGAATATGCTTGCAATAATACACAACGTATCACACTGAGTGCCTCTCGGTGTAACAGGATGCATACATGGTTTTGATTGTCATTTTTTTGTGGTTTTACACAGGTGTACTGAAGTGACGATGTATTTTGTACATGAGGATGAATTCTTAACTCTCATGCTGTGGTGCTTGCAGACAGAAAAGTTCACCTTTCTTTGGTCAGACAAAACAGGCAACCCACATTTCTTCAATTTCTGTTTGTTTCTGGGTTTTTTTAATGAGGTTTACTAATGCATTGTATATTGAGTAGTTGTATGTGTTTGTAAAAGAGGCATACAACACATTTGGATTTCTTTAATGTTCTGTGTTCAATGTGCGCTCATTCAGTAGGGGTAACTTAACGTGGAGGGTGGGTGGAGCTGGGGTGGATTCTTTTTCCATGCAAAAGCAGTGCAAATTATGAGAAAGTCAAAACTAGTGTGTGGTTGTCACAAATTTCTAAGTTACACATTTGCTACTGATGTTAAAATGGGGACAGATGATCATGTACCTTTTTATCCAGCTCTTTTGAACTCTCTTTAGCAGGTAGTCTATTCACAAACGTAGTTTTGCTCCTTGTCTGATTCTCAAATATGAAAATAAGTATTTTGATTCATTTTGTAAATACAGCTGTAAAGGAAAATAAGAAATTTAATGTTGTCTTTTAAATACTTTTCATTCTAATATGAATGTTGTTATATTGTACTTAGAAACTGTACCTTTAATATTACCTTTATTAAAAGTGCATTGGACACATCGATTTTAGATGTGCTTTATGTGCTGTTATCCCATAATAAAATCGCTTGTAATGGGCTTTCATTTCCTGACTATTAATCCATCTCTGCTCTCTCTTTTCAATTTCACATTCAACTTCAATTTCACATTCAACTAAATGTATATTTTTGATTATTTCACCAGGCCCAACTGTTTATATTAGTTTCAACATTTAACATAAGTTGGTAGCCTCACTAATGGAACCTATTGCCAACTTAAATATAACTAAATAAAGGTTATTACATAATACAATGCAATACTATTAACTTATTTGTGGTAATGACATGTATCAAAAATGAATAAAAAAGACTTGGAAATTATTTTCAATTATGGAGAAAAAAATGGGATTTCTCTCGGATATTTTGATTCCACAAAAATAACTGCAACATAAAATAGTTGTGGAAAATATTTCAACATTGCCACAAGTCAGCATTGTATTGTTGGCCAAATGCTGAAGAAAAGCAAGATCAGGAGGCTTTTAGCTGTATGTGTTCAGATAGCATCCACAATGCTATTGTTTCTAAAGCTTTATATTTATTTTATTGTATTCAGTATATTGTACACGTGAACAACGGTGGATGCCTGAGCCAGGTATGGATATGAGCATGTGGTGAATGCAAAACAGCAGGTGCGTTCACGAAGTATCTGTGTAATGAGACATGAGAACGGCTGCAGCTGCTGCCCATGAATAACTTTAGTTATTAAAGTAAATACTTTATACAGACATTAAAACCTGCGTCACGTAGAGCCAGGTAGGTTTGAAATAGACGTCTGCTGATGACCGGAGGGGGCAGCAAAGCGCACGTGGCCCTTTAGTCAGACTTCATGTCAGACAATATTTCGCGGACCGGTCGAGAAGGTCCGACGGGGGGGGGGGGGGGGGGGGGGGCGCTCTGTGTTCGCTGCCCGTGCACGGTAAAAGGACACGAAAAACGCCTGCTGCCGCGTGGGGAATATGTCAGAGGGACGAGTGCACATAATTAGGAGAAAATCCGGTCAATTTTCAAAATAAAACATTTTTCAGAAAAAAAAAGCTTTCCATGTACGGCCCACGGACCGGCGGTTGGGGACCACTGCTCCAGGCGATGACGTCACCTGTCAAGGGCGTGGCGTTAGCCGGCTGACGCTAACTCGCACATTTAAAGCTGCGTCAATGCTTTCATTCCTCGGGAATGGCGGACTAAAAGTGCCACAATTAAATAAATAAATACACAATCAAATAATTACTTAACGTGTAATTTATTAATTAAAATTAGAAGTAAATACATAAACGTGTACTTAAATGCGTCAATAATTAATTTAACTATTTCCCTATTTACATTTACATTTCAGGATCCTGCGTTGCGGCGCTTCATGAATTACTTAAAAAGATGGGTCAAACTGACCCATCAAAGTCAGTGGGCGGGGCTAACGCGACTCTAGTCTGATCCATTGCTTTGGTCTGAAGTACCTGGATAGAAACATGGAGGATCTCCGTGAACTTTCCAGGAAGTTGGTGAGAGACATTTTAAACTTAGCAGAGGATGTAGAAGCAGGACCTGCTGAATCAGAGCATGTAGCTAGTAAAGCAGAGGAACTTATTGAAGTTGTTGGAGTCATTTCCGTACTTTCTGACGAAGATATCGACCACGGAGTGATTGCAAATCTAGAAGAAGTTGTCCACCGCTTCTCTGGTACCAGGGCGCATCAGGCCCAACACACACAGGGACCAGGGCGTTTGCCCTTTGAGATACCGAGTGCAGTTCTGGAGGATCAAGTTCTTTGTGGAGTTCCCGCAGTTCAAATCGCAGCGATGTTCGGAGTGTCAAAGAGGACCATCAGGAGGCGCATGCAACAACACAGTTTAAGGTATTTACACTAAATTCATGAGATTTCTGTTTATGAATTGCTGCTCTCATACACTCTGAAATAATATGGCGTTTAAGGTAACATTACTTGATGTTGTGTTTTTTTTGTTTCTACAGAAAAACAGATCTCTATTCAGCTGTGAATGATGAGGAGTTGGACCATATTGTAAGTGAAATTCACAGAAGTCATCCAAACACCGGCTACAAGCTAATCCGTGGTCACCTGAATGCAAGAGGTGTGCGTGTTCCAAGTGAGTATAATAATATGGGCATTATTTAAATGTATTTTTAATTCGGAGCTCTGCCCTTTTGAAAGGTGAAGGAAGCCCGCTTATGGAAAGACATCGCCTCTGAGATGTAGAATGTGTATAATAGAAGAGAAACACACATTTCAGGACAGCTGACTTATATCATCAGGATAGACATGTCCTGTGATTTTTAGATTCCTGTTTAATAGAGGTGGAACAATATCTGAGAGTAATATTCTCAGCTGTCCGGATGTTCCTCCCCTCAGTCTCAAGACTGCAAGAGTCTTTCCGCAGAGTAGATGCAGAGGGAGTCTACATGAGACGTCTGAGGCTGCGTGTATTAAGGCGACGGCAGTATTTTGTTCCTGGCCCAAACTCTTTGTGGCATATAGATGGCCACCATAAGCTCATCAGGTCCGTGATATTAGCAGATAAACAATTCATCGTTCTAGATGTTTCATTACAATTGTTTTACAATAAAGTTGTATCTTTTCATGTGTTTGCAACAGGTGGAGATTTGTTGTCCACGGTGGGTTGGATGGATTCAGTCGTTTAGTGGTCTACCTGACTGTGGCTGGCAATAAAAGAGCTCATATGGTCCTACAGAGCTTGATCGCCGCTGTTGAGCAGTATGGGCTGCCATCAAGGGTACGGTCTGATAAAGGGGGGAGAATACAGATGTAGCAGAATTCATGATCAGAAGCAGAGGTACCGACAGGAATTCACACATCACAGGCAGAAGTGTCCACAATCAGCGGTAAAGAAATATGTTTGGCAACTAGGCTCACACAACTAACATACCAGTTGAATGTACTTTAGCATATGTCACATAAATTAACAATTTCTCAATTTTATCCTAAACACAGAATAGAGAGGATATGGAGAGATGTTTATGAACATGCCCTGGACCTCTTCTATCAGATCTTAACTTCATTGGAAGATCAGGGAACACTGAATCCAGACAATGAAGTCCATCTTTCCGCTCTGCACCGGATTTTATTTCCACTGGTTCAGCAAAGCCTAGACTCTTTTCGAGATGCTTGGAACTTTCACGGTCTGAGAACTGAAAGGAATCTGTCACCACAGCAACTCTGGACAAGTTACACAGAGCAAGGCCCTGAGGAGGATCCTACTGAGGTTAACAATCAACTTTAAAGTCGTTTCTAAAGTATTTCCCCAAAGGAATTATGGGAGGAAAAACTTACTTACTTTAAATGGAACATTTACTATAGATTATTGTCTCTTTAAAATCTCCCATGCTTTTAAAGATCAACCTGTGAGCTGTAGTTTCTACAGTGCATACTACAGCTGTATTATTTTACAAAACTGATTTTAATAACTAACAATTTCTCACTGACTTGGTGACCAAAAATAACAATCTTGTGTAAGGACATGTCAAACTATTTTTAAGTACAAGTTTGATTATGCTTGTCAACTATTCAGATTCCTGAAGAGTATGGGATCGACTGGAACGGACCTCACAGCCTTCATGGAGGCACTGTGTCAGTCCCCGAGGTTCAGCTGGCCCGTGAGCTCTCAGATGAAGAGGTTGCAATTTTGCCAGCTCCAGGAGTTTCTGTTACTGATGCGCGTAGACTATATGTAGAGACTGTGGAAGTGTTATCAAGAATCTTAGACTGATGTCCAACACATGTTTTTATTTGTTGTGTTAGAACAAGCAGTCAAAAACTAAAAGTTTGCTTTCCTTTTAAAAAAAATATATATATATATATGTGCAGAATAAAAATAAAAATAAAAGTCAACAACTGCACAGTGTGTTAATCAAAGTTTTCAAAGACATTGAACATGTGTCAATTCATCTGAACAGTGTAGGCATTGACAATAGGGCTGGGCAATATAGAGAAAATCAAATATCACAATATTTTTGACCAAACACCTCAATGACGATATTGTATGGTTGACAATTGATTCATTCACAAAATATCTTCCACATGTAAATTTCTGATAAATAACCATCATAATGTGGATATAATGACTAAGTGGTTAAAGGCAAATAATAGAACAGCTAGAACAGTCTGGTAAATTCAGAAAATGACACTTTACTGTAATGCAGCCATTGAAACCAGGAAAAGACTAAACTTACCATGTAACAATATTACTCTATATATATTAATATTGAAATATTGCCCAGCCCTAATTGACATCTGTCTGAAAACTTAAACAAGCCCAAATCCAGTACTTTTTATAGCAGCGACAAGTGCTTTCTCAAAGTCCATGTAGATTTTGAAATGAGCTGGCAGCTTTAGTGTTTCAAAGCATGTGGAGGACGTAGGAAGGGTTTCCTCAGAAGTCTCCACTGTCAGTTCAGGAGGAAGCATCTCCCAGCCAACCCAGAATGTCAGCAGCTGGGCCAGGGTACCTGATGAAGCTAAAAGCCATACAATAGATTGAAGACATTTAGTTCAACTTTATTTGATCATATCTATCCATGAGACATAGAAGCATTTGTAAAGAGAGAAATGAGGTTTATACCTGTTTCAATGAACATCCTTAGAAAGCCAGTGATGCGGCAGGTGGTGTCCAAGTCAAAGTCTTCATCATCACTGTCCTCAACTGGCCATGTGATTTTTTCTAGGAGCATCTTAAAGAAAACAAAAATTGAAAATTTAAAAAGGGAGAACTTATTTTGGTGAAGGACTATGCAGATCACATTATTGGAAAATGAAAAAATAGCCAGCTCAGTCATTGAAAATAGACGTAAAATTCATCAAGTTAAGTCACAAATATAACTAAATTACTGACTTACCTGGGGTGTGAACTGCATTTCAGCCATTTGGGGGAAAAGAAGTGGGACTGGCCTGGATGTCAGCAGGGGCCATACCATCACATCTTTCAGTCCCTTTCTCAACTGTTTAATTTGGCGCATGGTCCTCCCAACGACCTAAGAGACACACCGACCCATATTACAGCCCAAATCCTTAACCCAAATTTGACAAAAGTTGGCACAGTAGAAAAAATGTTAATAAAAGCACAATAAAGTGCCTTATAAAATCCATTAAAACTCTAGTACTTTAACTCTCGTGTTAACATTAACAAGCCAGGGTTCAGAATACATTCTATAATTTCAACAAGTACAGCAATGAATTCTGTCACTTAACCAGCAGGAACTCACTGCATGGAGTAGAAGTTTATTATGTAGCCATCTCCGATTTGTTTTGGTGACTGCCGGAAGATCCCAAGACATGAAAAGATCGGAAACTGTGTCTTTCTGTTCCGGTGTAAGTTCTTCATGTTCAAGCTAGAATAAGGACCATACCATTTATTATATCTGCCCAAGCAATATTTTTTACATGGCAAAGTTTCTTTTAGGTTACATACCAGTTCTATGATGCTCCTGATGTGCAGATCAGGACAGTCTTCAACAACAACAGTAGACATTTCAGGGTCCCCATTGAACAGTACATGAATTACAGCAGGACTTAATCCTGTGACATGGGGACCGTCATGCAAAAAGGTGTGGGCCAACATCCTTCCTGCAACCCGGAAGAGGTTGCTTTCAATAAGTGCCTCTGATGCTGCTGGAAAAAGATGGTCAGGTTCACCCTCAAATAGCAGTGTTCGGCCCATTCCTCCTGTAAAGTACCAAGAGAGCAGGGAATAAAGTCACAACAATTAACCTCTTAAATACATAAAATTACATCATACTAATAGCAGTGCCCGTTGAAAATGTGCCTGTTTGGAACGGGTGATTACTTGGCCTGTGGTATTGCTGCTTGTAGAATTCACTTAAACCAAATTGTAGCCTACTCCAAAATGACTCACAGAAGGACCCCAAACCACTTCAAATGCAACCCCCCTGTATACCCTACTACTGACTTACTGATTTACCTGACACAAAACATTGCCCACCGGCCCTCCGCTTAACAGCACATATCTGCGTTCATCAACCACCAGAACGTGTGCGTGTACTTACCAAGATCCAGACTGAATCCGAACTGGATTTTGGATATGATTGTTGTCATAAAGTACCGCATCACTCCCTCTCCGATAGCAACATCACCTGAAATAAAATACTGATAATAACACAGTGGAAAAAAAGTGGCAGACAAATACAGGTAACTGGATTAGCGAACATTTAACAAGCAAGGGAGAAAAATAGTCAAAATTCTATTGGCTGTAATTCTAGAACAGCATCCTTAATATTGATTATTCCAGATAAGAGTATATTGTGCACAATATTCACATACATAACATTTTTTATCAATTATATAATTTTGTGCATTCCATTCTCCCATTTTCCAATGGGACAATTCCATATATGCTACTTGAGTGGTATAAACTGTACTGATATATATTATATTATATTCTAAACTTTATATTACTTACCAACCAGAGTACAATGAAGTTGACATGCCCATTCTTGCTGCTGTTTATAGAATAAGAGAAGCTCCCGTTCCCGGTCCTCTTCAGACTCCCTTACATCCATCTTCATTCTAAGTGGTTTCCCAGTTGCATGTTCCTTTAGCAGATTCTCTTTGAAAACTTTGGCAGCTTGAGTGGGTTCTTTAATAAGCTTCCATTCTAAACAAACAACAACAAAGTTATCTATTCCAGAGACATATTGTGAGTTGGCACGTTACCTATACATATACATATACCCTCTCACTCTACAGAACAGGAGGAAAATTAGGTTATTTCACTGATAAAACGCGAGACCCAACAGATTAAAAATCTGTCACAACGCTGAGTTGACATAAAAACGGCATTCAACAAAAACTAAATATTAGAAAAATAGAAAAACCCAGGTGCATGTTATTAATTGCCTGTAACTGTATTATCTTATCCAATTATATCTTACAAGTGTTATCTTTCTATTGACTTTTCAGTTACACACAATCTTATAGCAACACTATTGTGATGACACATACCACTGTCTGTTTCTTTGCAATCCAACTCCTCGTTGACAATAACTGCTGGAACTACTGCACTCTCAGCTGATGTTTCAGACCTCACTGGAACACTGTCACTGACTAAGGCTGTCTCACTATCATTTTCTTCCCTTTGGCCTCCCTATTGTTCTCTTTCCTGCATGGGTGTCCTTGAAGTGAACACAATTCAAATGATGGTCATACTGGCTTATTTGTGTGCACAACACTCTAAGAGGACATATTCCCAAAGAAAATGAATATGCTACCCTTGCATTGCTTCAGGAAGTACATACCCATTAGTATGCTAAATGCTAGATGCTAGATGCTAAACGACTGTACTCTGAGAAACTCCAACAACAGTTCTCAGCAAGTGACTCTGCTTCGGTCTGGAGAGGCCTCAAACACCTCACCAACTACAAGCCAAAAAAAACCCACTCCATGAATGACCTCCGCCTGGCAGACGAGCTGAATGAGTTCTACTGCAGATTTGAATAACAATGTCCTGATCCCATCCCCCACAGCTCCACCAACCTGCTGCAGTCCCCCTCCCCTCCCTCCCCCAGCCCATCAGGTGATCACGCCTCTTCAACTATATCACCTTCCCCTCCCCCACCAGCAATGACCCTCTCTATTCTGGAGAGAGACGTTAACCGGCTCTTTAGAAGACTAAATCCCCGTAAGGCAGCCGGTCCGGACTCAGTCTCCCCTCACCCTGAAGCATTGTGCTGACCAGCTGTCTCCGGTGTTCACTGACATCTTCAACACCTCCCTGGAGACATGCCACGTACCAGCCTGCTTCGAGGCCTCCACCATCATCCCTGTCCCCAAGAAGCCCAGGATCACAGGACTCAATAACTACAGGCCCGTCACCCTGACCTCTGTAGTCATGAAGTCTTTTGAACGGCTAGTCCTGTCCCACCTGAAGTCCCTCACCGACCCCCTCCTGGACCCCCTGCAGTTTACCTACAGAGCAAACAGGTCTGTGGACGACGCTGTCAACATGGCCCTCCACTACATCCTCCAGCATCTGGACTCCCCAGGAACCTACGCCAGGATCCTGTTTGAGGACTTCAGCTCTGCTTTCAACACCATCATCCTGTCTCTGCTGCAGGACAAACTCTCCCAGCTGCACGTGCCCGACTCCACCTGCAAGTGGATCACAGACTTCCTGTCTGACAGGAAGCAGCACGTGAAGCTGGGGAAACATGTCTCAGCCTCTCGGACCATCAGCACCGGTTCCCCCCAAGGCTGCGTTCTTTCCCCACTGCTCTTCTCCCTGTACACCAGCTGCACCTACAGTCAGCAGTCCGTCAAGCTCCTGAAGTTTGCGGATGACACCACCCTCATTGGACTGATCTCTGGTGGGGATGAGTCCGCCTACAGGTGGGAGTCTGACCATCTGGTGTCGTGGTGCAGTCAGAACAACCTGGAGCTCAACGCTCTAAAGACACTGGAGATGGTTGTGGATTTCCGGCGGAACAGAGCCCCACCCTCCCCCATCACCCTGTGTGACTCCCCCGTCACTATTGTGGATTCCTTCCGTTTCCTGGGCTCCATCATCACCCAGGACCTCAAGTGGGAGCTGAACATCAGCTCCATCACCAAGAAGGCTCAGCAGAGGTTGTTCTTCCTGAGGCAGCTGAAGAAATTCAACCTGCCAAAGAAGATGATGGTCCACTTCTACACGGCCATCATCGAGTCCATCCTCTGCTCCTCCATCACCGTCTGGTACACTGCAGCCACAGCCAAGGACAAGGGCAGGCTGCAGCGTGTCATCCGCTCTGCAGAGAGGGTGATCGGCTGCAATCTGCTGTCCCTGCAGGACTTGTTCGCTTCCAGGTCTCTGAAGCGTGCTAAAATGATCGTGGCCGACCCCGCTCACCCCGGAGAAAACTGTTTGTGCCCCTTCCATCTGGCAGGAGGCTAAGGTCCATCAGGACTAAGACCTCCCGCTACACGAACAGTTTCTTCCCGTCGGCAGTCGGGCTCATCAACAGAGCCCGGTCCCCCACTGACTGACTATAACACTCCACCGGTCACTCCCCTTCACACTGCACATGTCACTTTAACTGCAATTCATCACTTTGTCGTCACTCGTCACTTTGTCACTTGTCTGTTACTTGTTCGTTAGTGCACTTTATGCTTAATATTTTTCTTTTTAACTTTTTAATATTTAAAATTTTTAACTTTATTCCCTTGTTTTATACTAACCCATAGCCTTAGCCTTATTCTACTAACCCATTCCATTAGCATTTCATTCTACTTTATTTTATTACTTGTGCACTGTTGTCTTGTCTGTCTACTGTCGCGCACTAACCGCCAAGACAAATTCCTTGTATGTTTGGCATATTTTGGCAAATAAATGTTTCCTGATTCCTGATTCCTGATTGCAGCTCAATCTGTGGAGCTTCATCTCTGAAAAGGGAACTTCCTTCTGACAAGTGATGCAGAAGATGACTCGGCCAGAGGCAGGACGTGAGCTCTCCTAACAACAACAAATGGCTTTTAATTAATGATTAAAAGTCACCAGTAATCTTTTTTTTGATTATGTATTAAACTAGGTCTCTGTAAATGTATGTACACAATCTAAGGGTAGATCCTGTTGAAGTGGACGTATGTAGATTGTAGCCTGTCCAATCATCGTCGATGGATCTTTCAGATAGGCAAGGGTGTATCCAGTGATGGGACACTGAAGCAATGCAAGATTTCGACTGTGAGTATCCTACAAGTTTTACAAATTCAAACCTCCCCCTTGTTGGATATTCGGAAACACTTCCATCAGTTTATTTGTTATAACCATGGGATCGTGGTCATTCCCTGGAGAAAAACAAACAAAATCATAACTCACCTCACCTTAAATTAAGAAAATAAGCCTGTGATAACTATTATTCACACTATTAAAATCAATTACGTTTGAGTCACTATAAAAATAAATGCAAATAATTTCAATAAACACTACACAATTTTTTTGTTTTGGTAAATGCCTAGTTTCGCACTGACCTGAAAAAGTCCTGAAGTAAGAAGTTCAACTTTGAACAGTACGCTTGGAATTTTATCCGCATTGTGGTCAGCCAAACAACAGACAGTGTGTGTGTAGCTTCTTCAGCTAACTTGGACTTGTGCTGGTCGTCTCGACATATTCCTTCTGGCTCCAATGTTATATGGCGCAAAGAGCCTTGCTACCTCCGCTGCAACACAGAAAAACGTCACCGCTCAATGGTCACCAGTCAGCTAAAACAGCCTCTACTTCTATCTGGAGATGCTCAAACCAGGTAACACCATTAGCGAACTGGCTGGTTTTATGCTCCCCCAATTAACAATGAACGTGTCACGCACGAAACATCATAATACCACATACAAATACATTTTCGAGTCGATCTAATTTAACCCACACGTGTGTCCCGAATCATTAATTAGTAACACACCTGGTTAACATGAAATTACTTAGCTTACCTTGGACAGGTGTACGTGATTGAGCGGCCGGTATCTGCTGTGACTGAGCTGCCGGAGCCGTTGGACTTCTGCTCAGAGCTTCCTCAATCAAATTCGCTGCTTCTCTCAGCAGCTCTGGGCAACTTTTTGACAATCTGTCCTGCATCTCGCACGGCGTCTGCGTCCTTGGTCATTGGGGCTAGCAGGACCGCGTCATCTCCTTAATTTTTAGCCGTTGCAATGAAAGTTCTGTTTAACAGCGTATCCAAACCAACGTAGAGGTGAATAGCGCCACCCAGTGTATTGGAATGTGTTCAGTAGCTCTGCATCAATCCATTATCTGGAATTGATTTGTCTTGACTTGATGGACAGGATAACCAATCAGGCGTTAGGTTCCGCCTTCGTACTTTTGATGGGTCAGTTTGACAGTTTTAAGTAATTCATGAAGCGCTGCAACGCAGGATCATGAAATGTAAATATAAATAGTGAAATAGTTATATATGCATTTTACATACAATGAATCGCTATTTTAATTAATTAATGTCACATTTAATTACACTTTTATTTATTTAATTCTAATTTTAATTAATTAATGACACATTTAAGTAATTATTTAAAGGTGTACTGTGTTTAATTGTGGCACTTTTAGTCCTCCATATTCCGCTTGTTAGTCTTGTACATAATGGAGCTGGTATGGTGAGTACGTTTTTCAATGCAATATGCTTGATATAATATCGGTAGTTTTCATGACAGTTCAGAATAATATTAGCGAGCAAGCTAGTTAGCGCCCCAGTGCCGTGGGGGGACTAACTGGCAGCCAGCTATGCTAACCACTGTTAGCTGAATCACCTAGCTAACGTTACAGTAACGGCGTGTATTAAACGTGCGGTGTGTTACTGTGCTGCATCTTTAGTTTAGTTACTGGGGAGACGAAACGAGAGCGCTGCACCACCATAACATTATCTTACACTATAGCTGGAGGCTGTAATATGAACGATAAGTTAACTCTGGCGTTGTTTATGTCGACCGAAGTGTGCGTTGATTTAATAACGTAACAAGTTAAGCATCTTAACAACTTTAGTTAGATTGTGTTAGAAATCCCTTTAATGTCTTTCTCCGTAGCAGGTTGTTTATTGCACTACTAACTTTACGTTAATAAAGCATAAACTAAAAATGTGTGTATTGTAACGTTATTTGTTTACATGTGTGAGTCTAAATTAATACTCCTTTATAACATTATGCAACAATTAAGATCCGATATTTTGAATGTCCTGTATCGACATTCATTCAGAGTGTTGTATTCAAAAATGAAGAAACGCTGGACGGACAGAGGTCATCTCAGATCAAAAGGTTAAATCAAATGTATTTAATAAAAGAGATGGTGTTGTGGTAAGAAGAACATCTCAGCTGAGGAGCCGCTGGTCTCAGCAACCAACGGGCTCCAGGTCAGTCATTTTGACCATCCCTAGTGCCCGTCTGTCGCCTCCACCAGCGAATTCGAGAACAATGGTTCCTACAGGTATTTATAACAATGTTTAAAGGTGTGAAAGTTAGTGTCCACACCTCTGGGAGTGGTCTTCTGGTGAGTTCAATGTAACTCGGATTTCGAATGATCCTTAGTCAATATCAGTTGTTGTTCAAGTATTACATGCATGCATTCCAGTTGATTACATTACATCAAATACAATCATAACTACATTGGTATTATTCTATTACAGTTGCAGAATTACGATGGTTTTACAATATTGTCATTACTTTATTGATTACACAGTTTCAAAATCATTGCTGTATTCTGGTGTACACTATACGCATTTTATTAATTTTATGAACCGGATCGTCAATTTGTTTCTAATATGCTACTAGAGCCACTTGTGACCCTGGATATCATTTGCACAAGAAGAAAATATATAAATACAAAAACGTAACGTTAGACCGATTTCGTAGTACATGTCCGTACATTTTCGGACTCCTTTTCTTTTGTTATCGGCCAATGTTTACATTCTTTTAGATCAGATCTGGGCATTGTACGGCCCGCGGGATGATTCTGACCGGCCTGCGAAAGACTACATGATTTAGAAAAAAAAACATATTTTCTAACTAAAACCGCATTGCTTTTATTTTGAAGCCCATTTATTCTCACGGTGCACGCAATCGTGCACGTCAACTGTGCACGTGAAATGCGTGTGATTGACAACCTGTCTTCCCTCCGGGTTACCCCTGAACTCTCTACCTTCTGTTTCAAACAAAAATGAACTACTATTACTTTGTGTTTGGTGTGTTTGGTTTGTGGGGAGCATGTCGCCGTGTTTAAAGAGTACAATTTGAAACGGCTTTACGAGACCAAACATGGCGATAAATACAAAAACTTGACTGATGCTGAACGAGTGCGCACATCAATGGATTTACTAGCAAAGCTGGATGAACAACAAGGCTGTTTTACAAAGCTGCATGCAGCCAGAGATGCAGCGACCAGAACTATGGAATGCAGCTCTGTCTCATTGGCCCATACCAGGAAAGTGGGCCAAAACGGCAAAAACCAGGTATTTATTTTAGTTTAAATTCCTCCTTTTGAGCTCACATATTAAAGCCCAAAGTGAATAAATGCATCTACATCCGTTTTCTTCCACAATAGTTGGTGCCAGTGCATGCCTTGAATTACGGTGTTGAGTGTCTGAGCAGCAGTGAGGCTTGCCATCTGTGGACTGAGACGTTGCTCCACTCCAGCACCGTATCCTCCTAGGTAAGAAAAGAGAAACTCTTTATTTCCCTTACCGGCAATCCAATTCTTTCTAAATTCAAGGAGAAATACTCTCCGGTCCAATGTAAAAATCCTTTAGTCTTTACATTTTCAATATAATTGCCAGGAAAATAGTCAAAATAATATTTATGTGGGTAAGGAAAATGGGAATTTGTTTCTTCTTCCTCATGTGCTTTATCTTGCAATAAAAACGGGGGAATAAAGCACATAATGACATGTTGGAATTGATCACAGGTCCCCCACAGTTAGGGTGGAATGCCTAAGCACTGGTCTAACAACACAGACTTACAACTGGAGGGTAAACGGAGGTTTTATATAACACCATGTGGCATTCCCCAAACGTGTACAGATGGCGTTGGGGTGGGCTGCAAAACACTCTGTAATTGAAGAAAGGCACTGTTGAGTTAAAGCGTATCTTCCATGTTGGAGTGGGAGGCATGAAAGGAGACTAGGGATGAGAATTGATAAGATTTTAACGATTCCGATGCCTTATCGATTCCTGCTTATCGATTCGATTCCTTATCGATTCTTTTATGGATTCTTATTGGGAAAGGGGTGAAAAAAAGAGCACAAACGGGTTTATTTACATTAATTTTCTTTTATATAATTTTCTATGCACACACCATATACAGTATGTATACATACACATTTAAAAAAATAAAATAACAAAAAACATTTATACATATTCCTCTTGAACTTAAAATAAAACTTACATAACTTAAATAAAATGTATTCTGTTTAATTTAAACATGTTCCTAGAAATTACAGTGCTCCTTCCTTTTTTAAAAGGGTATATGAACTGAGCTGCCAAAAATTAAACTAGCAGTGGCAAATACCAAGTGTGCAACCATTAATTGTATGACAATTGCATCAACAATTGTTGTGCAGAAAAATAAGCATGTCTGCTTTCTCCGGGAGGATACGCAATCTCTCTGGACTTGCTAGCTGTAGCCTGTGGCTGTGACCCAGACAGACTACCAGCCTCTGAACCACCAAATGTGGAGTGATCAATAACGGGAGACCAATGCCGGAGCTAAAATGTATGCTTCAAACGAAGGGAGAGAAAATAACCTGATCGACTACACCCAATAAAGGCAAATTGCTTCACACACTGAGTGGTTATGATCACTTTTGAGGAGTTTACCTTGGACAGAAAGAGATGACGCGCCGACGTTAGCTGAGCTGCTGCATGTATCGAACACATAACATTCCTGTAATTTAATTCCATGCTGTGTGTTCAAATGCTTATTCATATTTGTTGAATTTCCTTCCTTCGACGAAATAGACTTTTTACACAGGTTACAAGTGGCGTAGGGGTCATTTTGTCACGTGAAATAGAGCCAAACTTTAGAACGCTTCTGCCTAGTTGCCATGTTTGCTGCAGTCTGAAGAAGAAACTAAAAAAGTTTGCGCATGCGCAACGCCACAGAGGACCGTTAGCAGAACCGTTAAAGAATTTGGCTGACGATTCCAAACAATCGGTTCACTAGGAACCGGTTCTAAAAAAGAACCAGTTCTCGATTCCCATCTCTAAAGGAGACGTGGAAAACAAGCTTTTCTTACCTCCCACTCAAGATTGTAACAAGACTAACAAATTGTAGCACTTAAATTGTACTTGTAACGTCACTCATCTATAGCAAATTGTAAATTGGCTTAATTGAGGAAATTGCACTTTCTTGTTTCTTGTTCTCCTGAGTTTGTACCCTATGGTTGAATGCACTTATTGTACGTCGCTTTGGATAAAAGCGTCCGCTAAATGACATGTAATGTAATGTAATGTAACAATGTCGACAAATCAACACAGACTAATGACTGTGTAAGCACTATGAATGGGACTGTGATGTGAAGGTCACGATGTGCACGCTCCTTAGACCTTGTCCCTTTCTCCGTGCATCTCTCACCCTCCCGCTCTGTCTCTGCAGCTCACATCAATGCGCACACTTCAAAAAAGCTTTGCTGAGGAGGCTGCCTGACGACTGGAAACAGAACGTCTCCTGTGGCTTCAAGTGAGTGTCCTCACAACAGATGTGTGCAGAATATAAGGATCGGCCTAATCACCCCTGTATGAGTCTTCTAGTTTTAGTGTTAACGTGTCATCTCTGTATTCAGTCAGTAGCTCAACAATGCTAGCCTTTTTTCCAGATGGCTACTATCACCTTTGCTTTCGTCATTTCATTGAATATTACTATCAAAGTAGAGTTTGGTGATATCTCCTTTCCATTCACAGGCCGTCCAAGTCCCTGAATATTCTGCACCATCTACTGAAAAAGCTCACTGGGTAAGTTGTTTTACTGCTGAGCTCCTTCACACTCACTATTTTGACAGTAGCAAATAGGAAAATTGGAGTTGATAGTCCATCAGGACGTATGAAAGCCGTATCTTGGGAATGTCTGGAGGGAATTTATTCAAAAGAACTTTCACTCGGACATGTGGTTGAGCAGATTATTTTGTTGCTCAAAAGTCACTGTGACTTCATCAAATAATAAACAATAAATAAAGCTCATGATAATATGACATAAATCTTTAGTAGGATCGAGTGAGGACGTTGGACGCGGAAGTAAAACTCATCTTGACTGGTTCCTGCAGGCATACAACCGACAGGCAGTATTTGTAGTTGGGAAAGCATTCCCTTGTCTCAGGTGTCCGGGCCGCCTGATGTCTCGCAGCCTGCGGCTGAAGACATGATATAGTTTGCCATTTGTATGGGAGGGTCACACGATTACTCAGCGACACATAATACATGTGTCACCTTCTGCTTTCTTAAGGCTTTGCTCCTCTGCACAGGAAGAGAATGCTGCGTGTTTCAGTGTGTGGGCTCTGACTTCAACAAACCCTCAATGACTTCATTTGGTTTCGTAGGTTGGAGGAAGGACGGTACCTGATTGCACACAAGGCGGGAGAACCATTCGCCACCCTATTAAAAGCGGCTAATGGGAAAGCGAGTCGGGGGGCGTACGACCTGCAGAAGCTCCACAACTCAGTCCCCCGTCCCCTGGCCCCCGGGCTCGTGCCCTGGATACCTGTCGATCCAGCTGTGGTCATGTCCTTCCACAAGAAGCACAGGCGTGTTCCCTGCAAATTTTCACCAAAGCTCCTCGGACAAGTGTGTAGTGAACTTGCGTCACCAGCGTTGAAAGATGAAACGGTAAAAAAAGAAAAGAAAACCGCCCTGGAGGTCATGAGCCGACAACTGAGCTGACAGATTGGACAAATAGGAGTTGCTTATTGTTTAATACCTAGAAAGTCCACAAACACAGGGATTCTCTAAAGCTAGAGATAGATGACTTCTTCTTCACAGGCTGAACCAGCAGACTCACCAGCCCGCGACTAAAAGCACTAACTAAAGAGAGCAAAGATTAGGGGAGCAGACTCCGCCATATGGTATAATTTAACACAGGCGTCCAATGAATGACTCAAATGTATTTCCACTGCTTTTAACTTGACTGTTAAACGGAAAAAGGCAAATGTTTTGCAGCAAGTTCTCAACGGGGCATTTTGATTTTCAACGTTTGACACAGGACTCTCCTACTTCTGAGAATGACCAATACACAAAGAACTTGATGGTATTTACATTTAAAATCATTTTACCTTCCTTTATCCTACAAGAAGGCCAATCCAAAGACGGGGTTTGTAACCAATCAGGTGTAGAGACCATGTGACTGGCTCCGCCCCCTTACTGTCAGAAAGAACAACAGCGAGCGCGTAGAAAACTCCTTTGAGCGCGAACAGAGACTCTCCTCGCGAGCGAGCAAATAACTTGCTTGAGACGGACTTTTGCTCGCGTGAGACGGAGTTTGTACCTTTTCCCCCTGCAGACCAAGAGAGCAGAACCGTCCCTTATTGTGGACTATGAAAAGATTGACGAAGATGCCAGAGTAAGTTACCCATTTTCACTTCAGGTATGAGATTGAAAATATGTTGATTTTATAAACGTATATCTCATACAGAATAAATAGGTCACTTGAAAGGTTTGCTAAAAATGTCCAAATGAGTTTTTAAAACATTGGTCGTTTTGAGCTCATTCTTAAAAAAAACACATTTTATTTTGGCCCCTTGATATTTAACAGTAATGGAAACTCTTCTATGCCACAGAGTGAAAAGTGTTTTTTGTTGGTATTTCATTGATTCAACTCAGGCCCTCTATGAAGCCGGGGTGAAGATAAAAGGAACCGATGTGCCAACCTGGATCGCCATCATGTCTGAGAGGAGCGTACCCCACCTGCAAATGGGTAAGAGGCTGCTGTGGTTTGATATCGTTGTTCCCTAATTGTGGATTTTTCTTGTAAATGGTTCTTGTAAATTTGAAAAATCCCCAATCGCTTTTAAATCCCCTTTTTTTTACCCCCTCTGCCTGTTTAGTGTTTGAAAGGTACAAGAACTACAGCCCCTACATGCAGGAGAGCATTGTGAAAGAAGTTAAAGGAGACCTGCAAAAGTCCTTCCTGGTGCTAGGTACACAAATCTGTTATCAATAAGTCCCATTATTAATACATTACACTCCGTTCATTACATGTAGGCCGGGTGTTGTCTGAATCACTTCTAAAATTACAAAAGGTCTTCTGTCAAATAAAATGTGTTATTGTTATTTATCTGTTCTTTCTCTTGTTCCAGTTTAGTGCTTTGAAAACAAACAGCTATACTTTGCCAGCAAACTGAATGAAGCCATGAAGGTAGTTACTGTTCTGTTTTGTTTCTTCTCGCTGAAATGTGGCTATTTTGAGGATCTTTCTTTCTTTTAGAACAGATGTAAGAAGTACATCTTGCGTTTGAAAAGTGCAATTTTGCTGCAGGAACACATAATCCAAAGTGGGCAGAAGTTCTCTTACCACAGCGTTGCATCAGCTGCTGTAGTGAAGTTGAAAGTGTGTAACTTGTAAGCGCTGACTTGTGCTCGGCTGCTCAGAGCAAAGGCGCCAAAGAGAAGTCAGTAACCAGAATCATCGTGTCGCGCTGTGAGGTGGACCTGAAAAAGATCTGCTCCAAATACAAAACTAACTTTTGAGAGTCTCTGCAGAAGACTATTCTGGTGAGTGATTTATTCAGGTGACCTTTTACTGATTCACGGTCTGTTGTCATGCAGCCGCTCTGACCCGCTCTGTTTCTGCAGGAACACACCAAGGGAGACTACCAGAAGGTGCTGCTCGGCCTGTGTGGACCAGAAGAGTGAAATGAATCACCCGTATCAAAAGGGCCTCACTGCGCACCTCTGGAAAGGAGAACTCGAAAAGTGAACTCCGACTTGATATCTGACTTGGAAAAAACTGTATGGAAAAAGCCTGAACTTCTTTTCCTGCGCACATATAAATGCGACGTTCAAGGAGATGAGTTTGTATCTCGATAGATGAAGAATCTGTATTAAAGCTTACTTTTGTTACGCCAAAGAAGCCTCTTTGTTGGAGTATCGGTCCTCACTTTCTCTATGTCCATTTAGTTCATAGTACATTGTTGTGTGTTGATAACGTAGATGACCTCTAGAGAGCGCTGTAGTAAAGCAAAAGCACACTGCTGTGTCTCTTGCTTTACTCATGATATCTTCATATCTGCTGAAGAAAGCAGAGAATTAGAAATATTGATTATAATAAAGTAATTCATCTCAAAGTATATTTCATTGTGATTATTTCCTGTAATTATTCTAACTCTTAATTTAAGTGTAAATACATTTAACAGTTATCCAAAGAACGCTTTGCACAAGCGGGTGAAATTTAGCAGTTTGTATTATAACATTCAAAACTGCTGACATGATTTAATCATTAGTGTGTTTTTCCCTGTTTGTTTGGTGCTAATATTTTAATTAAAAATGTTAATTTTACCTCCGGCAGAGACGATTTGCATAGCACTAAACAAGCTTCTATACAGTGTGTTTCTGCTGTTTAGTTTGTGGTCTCTCAGGATGAAATAACCACCGCAGTGTTGTCAAGGCATTTCTACTCAAGTATAAGAAAAAATAAATGGCCCCAAAAGGCAAGATCGGAAATGCTGAACACAGCGATGAGGTGAAGGATGTGAGGGAAAGCACATGGACTATATTTAAAACATAGCGGTGTACTGTGGCTCAAATACGACGGAAGATCATCTATTTATTATTATTATGAGAGAAATTGCCGGATAAAATAATGCTTCTGTCTAATATTCTCATTGGTTGAGTAGCTGAGGGGGGAAATGGCTTCAGATTTTAACAAGGCACTAGATTTATGATCATTTTGTAGTAATATTGACGAGAACGTTAGCCTTTTGTGATGGGTCATGTTTATAGGCAATAAAAAGATAAAATATAGTGTAAAGTTAGGTAAAACTATATTTTGCAGAGCAGGGGATGAGATTTATGCGCGTGGTGCGGTGAGATTCATCTTTGCATCATAAAGAGGAAAGTAACACCATATTTTTCCCTTTTTTATATAGATGTACAACATGCTGTTCTGCTCAAGGCCAGTCCGTAGGGACCTCCAGCAAACCCAAGGGGAACTCTCTTCTCAAGTGAAATGATGCAATTTACTGTCCCAAATGCTGGCACTTCATCATTCAGACGAACACCAACAGCAATCGGATTTCGAGTTTACTCACTTTGGACCCCCGATTTGAGGGAGTGCGGATACAGAGAGCGGATACAGTGCGTTCGTCTGCACTATAGGGCTATGCGGAGACGGGGTTCACCGGGTTCAGACAAACTAGAGTCCGTCTGCACGGGGTCTGAGAGTGAGATTTCTGATTACTTTGTTTTTCTGAATAATCAGAGACAAGGGACAAGGACAAGGGACAATTCCCAGCTGTCAGGCGGCTCTGTTGTGGTGCTTCTAGCCCGAAAGGTCAGACAAATCCTGTTACTCCTTCTAACACTTGTCCCAGTTAGATTGAACATGTGGATGTCTTCCCCTGTTCACCTCAGAGACAAAGCACAGGCGGCGCTCGCAGGCCTCCGGCGGCAGTAAAGTTTCACAGTGCAGCTGTGTAGCCGCTGCCGGCCCCGAACAGACACACCGACTGCACACTGGGAAGGTTTTAGTTTGTGCTTTTTATTCATTTATTGCATTCAACGCGCTTTCAAAAAGGGGAAGCGACAGCGTCTGAAGTTTCCTTTCCATCGCTCTCCCTCCTTGACACATCTGAACCCGGCTCCCATTTTTTGTGCCGAGCACCAAAGGGTGTTTAATTATAGAGTAGTGGGCCACCAAGGTCTCCTTTTAATTGTGTGCATCCGTGTGTGTGTGTGTGTGTTTGCCTGCAGCTCTATAGGTCGCAGGCATACTCCAAATGAGAACTCCTACAGGCTAAGCTGGAGGATCCGCTCCCTTCACACAGCTGCAGAGCCGAGAGAGCCACGGTTTGATTAATATTTTCTTAATTATCATTATTTAATGCAGCTCAAACTACCGCTTCTCCGGTGAAAGCGTGGCCTTTGTCTCTGCAATGCTGTGAACGCCCCGGCTCGTTAAGGGCACCGAGAGATCCTGCATATGGTAAACAAGACGTTGTGTGCTGAGCTGCCGCCTCGGGGGCAGTTGGTCGCTCACCGAAGGACATTTCCCTCTGAAGAACACCGCTCTGCTGACGTTTCTCTCTGTGCGGACCGCTGAGCCAGATGTCAAGCAGCAACTGAATGTAAGACAGCCGATTGAGACAAATGTCTTGGGAATTGAACCACATGAACTGTTTTAGATCTTGATGTAGTGTGATGAACGGTGATCATTAATGATTTCTTGTAATGAAAGTGTACTAGTTAGAAGATGAAGACTTAAACTATGCATGCTTTGTTATATTCACTCATTGAGGCATAAAGCCAACTGTATCTACATTGAATGTGTTGGAATGTGAGGGACATATAGTACAGTGAGGTTTCAGGTTATAGCTGCAGCTTCACACCTCGACGTGAAGGGGACAGTCCAGGAGGAGACACTTTGAAGGAGAAGCCAATGACATTCAAATGCACCCAAGAAGACACACCTCAAGAGTTTTCAAAGGACCAAAGCGGGAAAAGGACTGTTAGAATTTTCCTGCAGCCGCTTTGATAAGTCGCTTTAGACTTGCTCAGAGAATTCTCTATTTCGCAAAATATTTTAGCGTTCGTTTTGTATTTCACTTTGTAATTGTAATCCTTATTACGTTGTTTAGTCATTAAATACCTTTTGATTTTTGAATTTAAACTAATTGACCAATTCGATTCCTCGTTTCCGGCCGGGACGAGAACAAAGGAGTGGGGCCTCCCTCGAGGGCTTTCCAAA